CCTGGAAGGAAAAATGGCTTTCATACTTTACTTGATGATATTAATCTATGTGGAAGAAGTCAAGAGAATCCACCAAGGATGTGAGACATATCCGAGGTTATATATTAGAGTCTTTACTCGATGACGTTAACCTGTGTGGAAGAGGTCGAATTAAATCCCCTTGGGATTGATTTTGCCTTGATTGGGAGGGGGTAAATGCCGCGTGTATCCCGAATCAAAGGTGGAGAGTGGTCTATCTTTAGACCATTACTGCCTTTTTGAGGTCGAGATTAAGACCTTGCCTAAGGAGTAGAAGTTCAGTAAGGGACTGTATGTGACTTAAAATTTATCAGAAGCATCCTTATATTTGCCGAAAGTTTTCTTATATATCGTATTGATTTTGAAAGTCTTGGAGAGATCTTTTTGACTAAATTTGTAGTTAAGGTTGCCCCCCAGTCCGAATCTGATTCCCATGAAATTGATGTATCAATAGGTGATGAATAAACTTTTGAGATTGGAGCCAAAATTGCCCCCAGTCAGAAACGACATTCCCACAGATGGCATCAAACTGTTGAGTCATGGATTATTTGTGGCGGTAGAGAAATTAAAATTTAATGTCTTAGTGTTGTATGAAAATTTGGCACGCAATCAGATAAGAGAGAGGAGGTGTAGCATTTATGAGACACCAAGATTTTTACGTGAAAAACCCCTGAAAAGGGGGAAAAATCATGGGGCCTAGCTCAGTTTGAATGAATCCACTATTATTTGTAGTTGATTACAAATGAGGCCCTTTCTTTGGGGAAGACCTTAGCTTGATGTACATCTTATAGAGTACATTACCTGATGGGAATACAAAGAGTTACTGTTGATATGTTCGTTTGGTTAGAAGGATCGTAGTTAATGGGCGACGTGAGTCAGCAGGACTGTAATCTATCGACGACGGAGGTCGGAAGGACTATAGCCGGTATGCGACGTAAGTCAGAAGGACTGTAGTCGGCAGGCGACGGGGGTCGGAAGAACTGTAGTCGATGGGTGACGTAAGTTAGAAGGACCGTAGTAGGTGGGCGATGGAGGTCAGAAGGAGTGTTTCAGGTAGAAGTCTAGCATCGGATAGATGTTTGACAAAAATATGACGGCGGACAAAAGTCAGGTATTATATAGAAATATGGAGACGAGCGGAGGTCTGGCGTCTGGTAGAAGTCCAAATTCAGTCGGTGGCCAGGGAGAACTTCGGCGTTTAATGGTATTCGGGCAAAACTCCATAGTCACTTGGAGATCGGGCAAAATTCTGACGTCACTCGAAACTTATGAGGAATTTTGGTGTCACTTGGAAGTCGTGCGGAATTCCGGCGTCACTTGGAAGTTAGTGGTCGAGGAGTTTCTTCCCTCATACTCTTCTCTTCTTCTTCTTTCTCCTTGCTTTCTTGCTTGGGTCCCTGTTGACTGTATAAAAAAAATTATAACAAAAAAATAAATAAATCAGAATAGGAAGTAAGAATCCCAGATCTATAAATCCTGACACTACCCTCAGGGGAAATCTGGTTAATTTCAATCTGACTTAAGGGAAATGGAATCCTAAGGTTGCAAAGCAGGATTCGTGCACTCGTGCCATTTTTCTTGAGCCAACAATCCCCTCTCAAGAGAAATGATTATAGTTTTTGAGGATGGCATGAACCGTAAATAGGAGGAGGATCAAAGGCAAAGGTGGAGTGGAATGTATGGACGGCCGATATTAAATCCCTTGATTATGGATTATTCATCAGACATTTGAAGGTCTTAATGATAATGGAATTTGGCGATCTTGAGCTCGTTGGATTTGTCTCATCGAGCCTCTCAATTCGACTATATCATAATTGTAAACTGTTTGGTAACCGAAATTGTGGTTCGAACCTTCCAACAGCGCTTCGGGTCCTTGATTTGGACTCATTTGGACTCGGATTGAGTTAAATTTGGTGTCGTTGGGTTCGTATTTCCGAGATGCTCAGTTCGACTGTAAGTTTTATGAAATCGGAGTTCAGATTATCTCGCATTTAATTTTTGAAGTTTCCAACTTGATTTTTGCCTCGAGATTCATGCCCGATCAAGATAATTTTTTGACGACATATCAATTCGAATCATTCATGACATATGAATTTTATCTTTAGACATTTTTATACTTGAGCCATTAGAAACTTTGCCCTGTTATTACCATTTCTTATTATGCTGTTCATTTAAAAAATAAAACAATGCACTTCATGTCGAACTATCGAGCCTACAAAATAAGCTGAATTAGAACTAATAAGCCAAGCTCGAGCTGAAAATACAAAATTTGAGTTGAGTTCGAGATCGAGTTCAAGCCACTTAAACAATTGGCGAGTCAAGCTCGTTGGGACTCGTGTTTTACTTGACTCATTTGCACTACTAATTATGAGTCATAAGTGTCTATTTTTTGACATACTAGCACATAGAGTTATATGAGCTTGAATTATGATATTTGTTTCTAACGAGAGGTATAAGAGCATGAGAAAAATATGTTATTTTTGCTATGATATATGTTACACTTTTTATTTGTTTTCCCCGTATTGTCTATTTAAATAAGAATTATTCTACGTAGGCTAATGAATTGTTAATAATTGTTTAAATTTAGTTAATGTAAAATGGGTTGATTATTGGAAATTTAGATAGATGAGTGTGACTTACTGAGCTATGGTAACTCACATCTATTCTGCATTTTGTTCCAAGTTAGGTGAATGGGAAAGGGCTGGTTGAGTAGCTATGGTCTCAAGTTTTAATATTTTCAAGTATGTTTATGTATTTTTTATTTTATAATTTATTTATGTGCTCTGTTCTAGCTTGTAGCCATGTACTGTAGTATGTAGGTGGTGTTGTATATGTATTTTGATGATGAATAAAAATGAAGAAAAGAAATTTATGGGTGAGTTTATTTTTTTACTTATTATAAGTAATTAGACGCTATGTAATATTTTTAAATTGAAGAAATTTGAAATGTTTCTAAAATTTTGATCTTAAGCTTGGCCTGTCACCATTTAATAAGATATGACATGTTTTGTCTGCGGGTTATATTCAGTTGAATTGTGATAAAAATATTAATTGGATGACCAAATGACAAATGACCTCCAATTTGGCATATTTATAATCAAATTGAGTTTCTCGATGAGATGAATTAAACGAGCCTAAGTTTGCTCTTCTGACAAGATTAAGATACTTAAATGTTGAACAAGCGCTTTATGATCAATTGAATCAATATGGGTTGTAGGATGAATTAATCAACATTTCCACTATATTTATGGAGCATAAAAAATAAATAAATATGCCCCCACACTACACAAAAGAGGATCATAGGGTTAGAGATTCAAGAGAACTCAAAGGCTTGAAGAATCTAAGGGTTCTACTCGAGCAACACCGTCACTCGACATTTGCCAGCTTACTATCGTGGTTGGACCTTTTGCCGCCTGGCTGTTATTGTTAAACCTTTTATTGTTTGATCAATGCCATCGAACATCCATCGCCCGATTGTAGACCTTCTCCACCTGACCATAACCATTGAACATTCCTTGCCCAACCACCCTCATCGAATTGCCGCCTCCCGACAAAAACTATTTGACTGGTATCACTCTCTTACAACCATTTGAATACTTTTCAATTAGTATTTGACCTTGTTATGTTCTCCAAATTATTGTAATCTTGTCTGTCTTAATACAAAGGGACGCGCAAGACATTATAATCAATATTCACATAGTGGAATCATTTCAATTGATAAGACATTGTGTTTTTTTTTCACTTTTTGAATTTTCTATGTAAAAACTCTAATGTTAGTAGTACTTTTTTATTTATATATTTGCGTGTTGGATTTTTCTGCAAAAAAAATAAATAAAATTCTTTTTATTATCATGAATTATTTTGCTTGCAATAATAATAATTTGAGAGAGAGAGAGAGAGAGAGAGAGAGAGAGAGAGAGAGAGAGAGAGAGAGAGAGCATGATTTGCAAATTGTGGTAAATGTGCTCATGATTGGAGTTGTTAGTCATAGGGCTATAAACCAATTGAATGTTCAATAAGCTATTTGTGCTCTGCTCGATTATAGCTTGTTCGTAATCGTTTGATTTAGTAATCAACCAAGTTTGATTGTTTTTTTAAATACTCGATGATTAAACAAACAAGTTTGAACAACTATGTATTTGTCTCATTTATATTCATGAACAACATCCTTTGAAACTCATAAACATGCTCAATACGAAGCTTGATAAGAAGCTCATTAAGAAAGTTGATTCTTCTGCGATATGGAGCTCGTGAAAAAAAAGAAAAATTGATATAAATATTGATTAAGTCTCATTATAGATTAAATTTATTCATTTTCAAAAATATATTTACTCATATTTTATAGACAGTTTGATTTTAGTGTTCATTAAAAAGCACGCTTATTAAAAGTATCATTTATGAGCTTGACATGTTACTCGTTTATGGGATAGAGAAAGCTCGATAAACTTGCTCGTTTATGGGTTCCACAAAGCTTGATAGATAAGTTCGTTAACCGACTCATATAAATATTTGTTAATAGTCACGATAAGATTTATTTGTTAAACAACTGAAAAATCTCAATATTGATAGGCTCATAGCTCATTAGTAGCTTGATAAGACAAATTCTTTAATAGCTCCATAAAATGCATTCTTTAATTTAAATGAGTTGCTAATTTAATACTCCATAAAAATGAAATGAACCAAATATATATTAAATATAATTATTTAATATTTTAAATAAATCAAATTTAAACACAAATACAAAAGCTCCCATTGAACTAGAATAATAAATCGGACAAACACAATTCTCTTTGGCCTATTGGTTGAGAGCATAGGCTTTTAATTAAGAGGTTTAGGGTTCGAGTTTATGTATATGCGTTGTGTCTGTGAATTTGACTTAATTGGCCTAAAAAAAAAAAAAAAAAAAAAAAAATAATGGGACAAACTTATTCTCGATTAGATTCGTTTGCAGCGCTGGTCGGTCTCGGTCATGAATCACATAACTATGCGAGAAGGGTAAAAAATGAAGGTAAGACGAGGTGCGGGAAAATGTACAAGTTCCTGCGTACGACCTCCGTCGCCATCCGTCGCCATGAGCGGAAGCGAGACGGATTCAACCAGATTTTGTGAAACAGTATCAAGTCCGCAGCACCATATTCTTCGCTAGGCGATCTTCTTCTCAGCCTCCCACTTGTCGAACTCCAGGCCTGGCCGATTCGATCTTTATCGCCGTTTCTCACCACTTGCGTTCCCCTATATCTTCGACCTCTCCGCTGCTCAAATCCCAATCACGCAAATTCCCCGTTTGAAGGTATCCCTTCCTCTTTTTGTTTATCTCTGAAATTCTTCAGCAGTTTAGGTTGCTAGTTTTTGGTTTCTGGAAAAGAATTGCATTTTTTCTGTTCTTTTTCTCTTGGGTCAATATTCTCGTAAATCGATATAATTACTCATTATTCCTTCTCAGACTACTGTTCAATGTGTTAATACTGACAGGTTTAACAAAGTCAGTGCTTTTTATTTTTTAATTTTGGCCGGTTATTTGAAAAGAAATACACCAGTTGATTTATGCATGATGTACCTAAATTATATATTAGGACCCACTGAATCTGATTGATACTTGTTCATGAAACGGGGGATTTTGTGTTCGCAATTAGGATTACGTAAATCTGAAATTTGTAAGCCTGGTAATCCTCTACTCAATAAATATGTTCTGCTTTAATGCTATAAATTATCTGGTTGCCAATAAGAGTAATCGTTATTTGTTTTTTTTTTTAAATTATGCGGCACCCAATTGAAGAAACTTGAGTTAAGGGGTTTGTAAATGGATTGTGATTGCTGATTATAAATTTATAAGCTCTGCAATCATTCTCCACTTGTGTAATTAGGCAAAGTCAGGCAAAAATTTTTTATTCATTATCACTCAGAAGGTTTTTGGCTGGAAAGAAGTTTGCTTGGAATGAAATTATTGATTTAGAGGTTAGATAGTAAATTTGTGAGTAATTATAACATTATTTATTAATAAGGAAATCATTGATAGCAATCAATACATTCATTATGATATTAAAATATCTAAGAATGATGATCGAAAATAACAAACTATGTAAACATTGTTTAGTACTGGGTTTCTTGAGAATAGAAAAACAAAAGGGTGAGGAATTCCTTAATAAAATTTGGTAAGTCTGATTTTGTTAGCCATAGATTTGCTTTGAGATGACTGATACCAAAATTAATCATTTTGAATTTATTTTAAATTATGATGTCAGGATTAATTAGTCATTTCTCTTGCATTATTAGTGTTTGATTTATGTTTAGAAAATATTTGATTGTTCTTTTATGCATTTGGACTTATCTATTTGATCAAATTTAGGATTTATTTTATCTTATTTCTTGTAATTATCATCAATGTCTTGTTTATACTATAAATGAGACCTAGAGTTTGGTTGATGGATGATTGGTTGAATGAATTTGATGGAGATGATCGTGAGGAATGGAGTGGGTAGGAGTTGACATGAAAAATATATTTGGAGTGTTGGTGGCGATGTAGGCTTAAGAGATGGTGAGGGAAGTGATGATGGTTGAGAAGAGATTCAATTTGGGCGACTATGAAGGTGGGGAGTTTGGTGAAGGGTGTCTTAGGATGTGTTAGAGAGGTGGTAGGTTTCTATAGGGCCATAGGGGTTAAGTGTGGTCAGCTAGGGTGGAGGAGGCTAGACGTTGAAATCATTGTATGGTTAGGGTGAAAAATAGAGGGTGAGGTCGAGAGCTCCCCAACGGTCTGGTTAAATTTCATGGGTGAGAGAGTGGTGTCGGCTATGGAATGAGTGATCTAGGAGGTGGTATTGGAGTTTGGCGGTTCATAGTGAGAGATGAGGGGTGTAATGGCTTGAAGGAGGAGGATTGGCTAAATTAGAGTTGGCAATACCTTTTTTAGTCAACCCTTGCATTTCCCATTTATGTGCGCACTTAAAAGACATCCTGTTTAACCACCAACACACTAATAGAGTTCTCCTAATGCACTACTAAAGTCCGCATATTATAATCATGAAATTCAAATTTGAAAATATAGTGAATATCCCAATAACAACAAAGTTCAAAAATATAAAAGCGACACAAGATGAATATGAAATTATCGTTGAAATTCAATTGATCTGCTGCATTAGAATCATTTTGTGATTGCTATGGTTTCTTGTTTTCTCCTCCCCTCGGCGGCTTCCTCCTTTTGTACTGGTTTCTCTTTTCATTCTACTTTCATTGTGTTGTCCTGCATCAATCTTGCTTTACACAGTAGAGTGCCATTGCCTCTAACTTTAAGCAATCTTATTTTCTTGAGGGCTTCTAACACTTTATATCATTGATTTTTAATACGATTGTTTGGCTGGCAATCCAACAAAGAGGCAAAATAGTGGTTATTTTTTCCTTTGCAAGTGCTTCTCTTTAGCCCTTCCCATATCCATTAGTGCTCGCATCCAAAGTGAAGAGAAGGCAAAAAAGGATTTAACCAACTTGTATTAGAAGTCAGTTAAATATATTGGAGACTTCCTCACATGGATATGAGAGCTTGGCCTTCTTTCTTTTACTATTTCTGTTGACCATTCTTCCATTTTAGCAGCAGTTTATGCTCAATTGGGCTATATTAAAGGGGGTATTTAATGCATGATGCTTTTGTGTATGCTGAATCTTTTTCAACTATGCTCTAATTCTAAAACTTTCATCAAGCTCTAATTAGAATCCCATTTTGGAATTGATTGGGACTAGAAAGAATCACATAATAATAAGAGTCCCTTTTTTGTTTTACTATTTTATTTGCCCATTCTTCCATTTTGGTAGCAGTCGAAGTTCCTTTGAATTATATAGAAGGGAATAAGGGATACCTAATGCATGAAGCTTTCGTGGCTATTTCATCAAGTTCTAATTAGAATCCCATTTTGGAATTGATTGGGAAGAGAAAGAACCACATATTTTGGTATTCTTAATACAGTGAATGAGAGCCTCCTAGTCAAAGCAGGAAGTGCAGATTTTCGAGTTATGATGTAGCAGACTTCATTACAAATCTTCAATCCAGCAAAGTCTGGAGCATTGACCAATTTATTTTGATAGCTTTCGTCGGGCATACAATTCATAATGGAATAATTATATAGATTTATTGCTAAGGACTGTCACTCTAATTTAAATTGTTAATATATGAACTTTATGCATGGTTAAGAGGAGAATTGGGAATTTATTAATATGCGATGCTCTTTATAATGATAAACTGATAAAATTCATATAGAAAGATGGAATAAGGTTGAACTCTTTTTTGCTTTTTTTTTTATTGCAGTAAGAAATGCTCAGCATTCTTTATATTAATTGAAAGGTGGAATAACATTCGTGATTTCGAGACAAGTTTTCATTTGAACCTTGGTTTTGTGGCAGAGTTTAGTTGGCAATTGAAAATATATGATGCAGATGAGAATGACACTTTTGATTAATAGTCTTTATCCATGGAACTATGTCTCTCAGAGTTAGTGGGCTTGGTTCATTATGTCCTTTGCGAAAAGTGTTTTATATAAGATTTTCCTTTTAATGTAAACTTAGCTAAACCATACATTATTTGAATTGATTTTCTTAAAAAAAGCATGTGGTCCTCATCTGATCTATCCCAAAATTTTTAATACAAGAAATAAATTTGAAATAAAAGTATAGAGGATTAAAGGTGTGCATGAAAAGAATTTTAATTTTAACTAGCGAAAGTTGAAGGAGGGAAAACACAGATTATTGGACTTTTGCTCGGTCATTCATTTGATAGCTATATGCTTAGCCAAACATTTACTATGTTCTTTATTCTTTTGGAGTACTTATCCATTCATAAAATACATAAAAAAATATCATTTCCAGATCTGCAATGCATATTAGCATGATCTTTGTTTCAGTTTTTATGCTCCAGTATGAAATTGCCTTTTACGGTTCGGATTAATGCATAAATTCATAAAAGAGTCTTGCTTTTCATTTTTTTAGTAATGTGCTGTCTTATAGTATCATAAGACTGGAAATATTTCAATAAAAATAGGCAAAGATATTTTTAATAACCTAAATAAATAGGCTTAATCCTAGTTTCAATTCTAAATAACAGAATTATATGGTTTTCATATAAAATTAAAAAAATCATGAGATTTACTGTATAATTTAGATCTTAAATAGACAAAGATGTTCAACAAATCAAAATGAAAATTCTAGGAATTATATATCATTTGAATATCAAGGGCTATCTGCAGATGATTAAGTTTCATTACTAATTATCCATTGAAATCATGTTCAGATGGGCACAGCTAATAATTATACTGAGAAGAAATTTTTTGAAGATAACACCAACATCTTAACGTTTTAATTTTAATGCAAAAATAGTACGACCCCCCCAAACCATAAAAAAAAAAAAATTGATGTGAAGGTGATTGTTGTTTCATTAACATGAAATATAAGGCATGGTCAACTTCTATTTTGCAATGCAAATAAAATATCTCCCATATTTATACTTTGGTTAAAAGGCACTTGATGTTCCATTAGTAACTGTTCTTTTCTTTTCCTGCTCATCGCTATCATCAATTTAAACCTCTTTGGCTCCTTGAATCTTCTGAGTGTTCTGGTAAATCCAAATTTTCTTCCCATTTTCTTTCTCCCTTGGGCTACATTTTTCTCTCTTTCTCTTCTTACATTCTCTCCTCGTCAATGCTCTCTCTCTCTTTTGCAAACCCGAATGCTTCCTCAATTTGTCGGATAAGAAGAAACTTAAGGTGAATTATATGCAATACTCTTTAAATATTTTTTCTTCTTAAGATCCATATATTTGAAAATTGTTTGTCTTTTTTAATTTAAAGCATGGCTAGGAGATGTCAATTCAGTCCACAACCCTGGCCCTTAAAAAACAAGTTGGTAATAGAAAGGTCGGGTTGGCCCTTTTAAGAAATGTAAAAATGACTACAAAAAGGGTCTGCCCAACTATTATATGTGCTACCCATTTAGATATATTACATTTATGCTTTCTTGTTAAGAAAACCTAAATTGGTGAAGATGAATGAGAGAGAGAGAGAGAGAGAGAGGGTGCACGTCTTCAAAAAGACAGCCAAGTACTTATCTTTATATTTCGTGAAAACACAAAACTGATGAAAAGTAGCATAGCAGCATGATTTGATATCCATGTAAAAATAATTTACTAGGGTATTGGCTTGTTTTATGGGCTGTTTGGTTGCTGGAAAAAGAAATGCAATGTAAAATGAATGCAGTGTAAACAAAATGTGGTGTAAAAGGAATATTTTGGAGTTGTTTTGATGATTGTAA